GTAGAGTGCTGTAGCATCACAGCTCATAGCAACCTCCAACTCCTGGGCTCAAGCAAGTCTCCTGCCTCCGCCTCCCAAGTAGCTGGGACCACAGGCGCTCACCATAACGCCTGGCTATTTTTTTTTTGGTTGCAGCCGTCATTGTTGTTTGGTGGGCATGGGCTGGATTCAAACCCACCACCTTAGGTGTATGTGGCTGGTGCCTTAGACACTTGAGCCACAGGCGCTGAGCCGTGGCCTGTGTTTTTAAAATATGTCAATGTCTGGCTCAGCACTCAAAGCTCAGCGATTAGGTGCTGGCCACATGCACCAGGGCTATTGGGTTCGAATCCAGCCAGGGCCTGCTAAACGACGACAACAATGCTGTATACTGTGGTGAGTATACCTGGGCCATTTGTGCTTGGCTCCTGCCCCCTTCTGTCCTCATCTTCCAGCACACCTCTAAACAACTTTTTCTGATTTCTTGCTTTGAGTCATGCTATTTTATCTGCTCCATCTCCTCGTTTTTCTAAACCAGTGATTCTCAATCAGGAGCAATATCGTCCCCCAGTGGATGTTTCCCCGTGTCTGGAGACATATTTGGTTGTCACATCTGGGGAACCCTACTGCCATCTAGTGGGTAAGAGCCTGATAATGTGCTGTTAAACATTCTATAGAACACAAGACAGCCTCCCACAACAAAGTCAAGGCAACTCATACTTGTAATCCTAGCTCTCTGGGAAGCCAAGGCAGATGGATTGCTTGAGCTCAGGAGTTGCAGACCAGCCTGAACAAGAGCAAGGCCCCATGTCTACTAAATGAAAAACTTAGCTAAGCATTGTGGTAGGGATCTGTAGTCCAAGCTACTTGAGAGGCTAAGGCAGGAGGATGGCTTGAGCCCAAGGGTTTGAGGTTGCTGTGAGCTACGGTGATGCAACAGAGTAGGACTCTGTCTCAAAAATTAATAAACAGTTAAATTCTAAAACCTCTGATCTTTGCCCAACAATGATAGCACACAGTAGGTTTTCAATGAATGGAAACCTATTATGTTGGATATATGAATGGATCTTGGCAATGAGCTTATCTGCCACACATATGCAGGCTTCTTCTAAACTGGCCTCTTTTTCCTCTGTTGTCCCTCTCAGGACCTGGGTTTCAGTGATGAGACATGGGGTATGATGTAACCCGTTTCCAGGGGGATGTTGACGAGGACCTTATTTGCCCTATTTGCAGTGGAGTCTTGGAGGAGCCAGTACAGGTAAGTTGGTCTGATGGCAGGTTTGGTACAGAGGAGGAGTGGCAGCTACAAGGAGAATAGGCTCCCAAAATCTAGACATTTAGCTGGGCATTGTAGCAGGTGCCTGTAGTCCCAGCTACTTGGGAGGCTGAGGCAAGAGAATTGTTTGAGCCCAAGAGTTTGAGGTTGCTGTGACCTATGATGACCAAGGGTGACAAAAAATGAGACTTTGTCTCAAAAAAGAAAAAAATTGTCTAGATGTTGATGCCACCAAGATCTGGTGGTTCTCAATTTCTTTCTGAGGTTACTCTGAGAGTTTTCTCCTGTAAAATGATCAACTGCTGACTGATTTCTGGCTTATTAGTTAGTAGGAACTCTTCCTTTCCCCTGCAGGAACTCTGAGTACTTTCCATTTTCCTATCATTAAACTTCTGGACTCTCCTGATAACTTCTGCAGTTTTTGGCTGGGGTTGGGTTTGAACCCACCACCTCTGGTATATGGGGCCAGTGCCCTACTCCTTTGAGCTACAGGTGCTGTCCTAGTTTTTTTTTTTTGAGGCAGAATTTTATGTCGCCCTCGGTAGAGTGTAGTGGCATCATAGCTCACAGCAACCTCTTACTCTTGGGCTTAAATGATTCTCTTGCCTCACCCTCCCAAGTAACTGGAACTACAGGCGCCTGCCACAATGCCCTGCTATTATTATTATTATTATTATTATTTTGAGACGGAGCCTCAAGCTGTCACCCTGGGTAGAGTGCCATGGCATCACAGCTCACAGCTACCTCCAACTCCTGGGCTCAAGCGAGTGTCCTGCCTCAGCCTCCCAAGTAGCTGGGACTACAGGCGCCTGCTACAATGCCTGCTATTTTTTGGTTGCAGCCGTCATTGTTATTTGGCAGGCCCGGGCTGGATTCAAACCCGCCAACCCAGGTGTATGTGGCTGGCACCTTAGCTGCTTGAGCCACAGGCACTGGGCCATTTTTCTTTTCTTTTTTTCTTTGCAGTTTTTGGCCAGGGTGGGGTTTTGAACCCACCACCTTCAGTATATGGGGCTGGCACCCTACTCCTTGAGCCGCAGTTCCTGTCCTTTTTGTTGTTGTCATTGTTGTTTGGCAACCCTGGGCTGGGTTTGAACCCACCAGCCCCAGTGTATGTGGCCGGCACACTAGCTGCTCAGCTTCAGGTGCTGAGCCTTCTCTATGTGTTTTGATGTTGTAGTCCTTCAGATAAGCAGCCCTTCCTCCTGCAGTCTCCTACCTGCCTTCTGTTGAACACATTAGAAGTGGGTAAATGTATGTACTGATCTATTTTCTTTCTGGGGTCTGTTGAAAAGACCAGTTTTTGATGCAGACACGCACTCTGCATTTTGATATAAAAGTTGCCACCTGGCTCGGCACCTGTGGCTCAAGCGGCTAAGGCGCCAGCCACATACACCTAAGGTGGCGGGTTCGAATCCCCAGCCCGGGCCCGCCAAACAACACTGATGGCTGCAAC